AAATAAGGGGGGGGGGCTGCAAAAATAATAATAACAATAATAAAGAGAATCGGGGATCTTCCTGTTGGTCTCTTATTGGATAAATAATCTGCTCGGAGTCACACACGATTAATCAATTGGTTTTTTATTTTTTCGTGGGAGAATTGGCAAGCTTTGAACCTCCCACGGGTGCGCAAGTGAAGCGCCGGCCCTATTTTCTTTTTTTCTTTTTTTTTTGCTGATGCAAGCAGTTAAGTCAACTCTGGCTGTTCCCTGAGACGAGAAGCCGATAAAACGGCTGGAATTACACCTGGAGCCGCAACGGTGCAGTCAGCACAAATGTGAAAACTTCCCTGTGGGTTAGCAAAGAGCACAGCAGACGTGATGACTTTCTGGAAACCGAGGCGAGCTGGAAAGTCTGCAGAGCCTGGAGGGTGTCAGCAGGGGTCTCCTTGTGAAGAGCAGCACTTCTAAAGCAAATTGACACCCACACCCACACCCCCCCCAAGCAGAAAGGCTGCAAAGGCAGTCATACCTGACTGGCATGATGTGAGCCTCCCTGGATAAACCAGATACGAAATGAATAGAATAGAATAGAATGGAATGGAATAGAATAGAATAGGAAGAATGAATGGAATAGAATTAGAATAGAATAGAATAGAATAGAATAGAATAGAATAGAATAGAATAGAATAGAAGAATGAATGGAATAGAATTAGAATTAGAATAGAATAGAATAGAATAGAATAGAAAAGAAAAGAAGAATGAATGGAATAGAATTAGAATAGAATAGAATAGAATAGAAGAATGAATGAAATAGAATTAGATTAGATTAGAATAGAATAGAAGAATGAATGGAATAGAATTAGATTAGAATAGAATAGGAATAGAATAGAATGGAATGAAATGGAATGGAATAGAATAGAACAGAATAGAATAGAAAATATGGAATGGAATGGAAAGAACAGAATGGAATAGAATAGAATAGAAGAATGAATGGAATGGAATGGAATGGAATAGATTAGAATAGAATAGAATAGAATAGAATAGAATGGAATGGAATGGAATGGAATGGAATGGAACGGAACGGAACGGAACGGAATAGAATAGATTAGAATAGAATAGAATAGAAGAGAAGAATGAATGGAATGGAATAGAATAGAATTGTAGAGGCACTTCAGAACACCCCCAGTGTATCTTCCTCCCCAACCCGCCAAGCTGGATCGAAGTGCAAGATCAAAACTTTCCTTTTGCAAAGAGTTTCCAACTTGGGCATGGTGGGGGGGGGAGAATAGGAGAGAGACAATGTTGGGCTTGATGCTCTTGGGGGTGGGGGATTTCAAAAACGCATCCGAGATGTTCTGCAACTCCACGGCGTATTTTTTGTGATGAATAAACTCTGCGGGGATCAGCAGCCCTGTTGAAGGTCATGAAGCTGTTTGGCTGACATTGATGTTCAAGGTGGAATTCCCTGGCGCTTTGTACTCTGAAGCTCGGAGAAGCAGCATACGTACCCTACCAAGGGTTTATTTACTAGACTTAACACCACTGTGGTACTCAACAAATTTGATTTTATATCTGGCCTTCAGGTGAGGATGGAGTGGGTTGCTGTAATGTTTTGACTGGCTTCCTGTTGGTATTATATATATATTCTCTTCCTACACAATAACAGAATAACAGAGATGGAAGAGACTTTGGAGGTCTTCTAGTCCAGCCCCCTGTTCAAGCTTGAGACCCTATACCAGGGGTAGGCAACCTTGGCTCTTTTATGACTCGTGGACTTCAACTCACAGAATTCCTGAGCCAGCATGGCTCAGCTTGGAAACCTCTCCCTTTCCCCTCAGCGTGGCTGGCTCAGGAATTCTGGGAGTTGAAGTCCACAAATCATAAAAGAGCCAAGTTTGCCTACCCCTGGCCTAAGTCCTCCTGTTCTAAGCGGTGAGCCTCCTAGACCAGGGGTAGGCAACCTCGGCTCTTTTATGACTGGTGGACTTCAACTCCCAGAATTCCTGAGCCAGGCATGCTGAGGAGAAAGGCAGAGGTTTCCATGCTGAGCCGGGCTGGCTCAGGAATTCTGGGAGTTGAAGTCCATGAGTCAGAAAAGAGCCAAGGTTGCCTGCCCTAGGCCTAGGCCGCTTTATGACTTGTGGGCTTCAACTCCCAGAATTCCTGAGCCAGCCTGTCTCAGCTTGGAAACCTCTCCCTTTCCCCTCAGCATGGCTGGCTCAGGAATTCTGGGAGTTGAAGTCCACGAATCATAAAAGAGCCAAGTTTGCCTACCTCTGCCCTATACCATTTCAGACAAGTGACTCTTGTCAGTCTCTTCTTAAAAATATCCAGTGATGGAGCGTTCAAAACTTCTGGAGGCAAGTTGTTCCACAGGTTAGTTCTTCTAACTGTCAGGAAATGTTAAACCTTGTGTATATTTTATTAGGAACCACTTCTATGAATCAGGAAATTCAGATTTAAACTTTTCATTTCAAATGGTCCCTTCAGTTATTCAGCTGCCATTGGATTGGAGGCATTGGCTGTCCTTGCTTGTTTTGATTTGTGTTAGGCAGAAAATATTTAAACTTTCATATGTCAATTGTCAGATACACAACAGCGCTGCGCGCCAACTGCTAGAAGATCTGTTGAATTCTAAATACCATTGATTCCAACAGTGAAATTTGAAAAAAAAAAAAAAAACACAATCGCAAGCCAACTATTAGACACCGTGAAATTCTAAATACGTTTGTGTGCCAATTATTGAACACAAAAATACCACCGTATGCCAATTATTAAAATATTCTGAATACAAAATGCAGGCCTATAATCAAATTCGGTTAATTCCTTAATTCTGTGGAAAGGCAGGTCCAGGAAATTTCTCCTTAGTTCTAGGTTGCTTCTCTCCTTGAGCAGTTTCCATCCGTTGCTTCTTGTCCTGCCTTCAGGCGCTTTGGAGAATAGCTTGACTCCCTCTTCTTTGGGGCAGCCCCTGAGATACTGGAATGCTGCTATGATGTCCCCCCTCGTCCTTCTCTTCATTAAACTGGACATACCCAATTCCAGCAACCGTCCATTCTGAATCTCTTTTTCCACCTATAATACAGCTGCAGGCTATCCTGTCTCTTATTTCAGACGTCTCCAATCTTTTGGGCACCAGGGACCGGTTCCATGGAGACAGGTTTTTCCGTGGACCGGAGAGTGCGTGGTTTTATGTGCTGGCTGGGGCTTTGCTTGTTTATGCGGCCCGGTTGCTGGCATGCTGCGGAACGTGGGTTGGGGACCCCTGTCTTATTTGACTGCTCCCTAGTGTCAGAAGTAAGTCTTCATCCTGGTTCATCCAAGCTGGGGATAAATAAGCAACACGGTGACTGCTTTGGGAAGAAGGTTACAGTTTATTGAAGAAGCAGAAAGATGGTCCTTACAAGAAAGAGCAGAGGAGAGAGGCAAGAGGAGTTGAGCACATGGGCAGTAGGTTTTTATACCCCCTCTAGCCTTTTTTTGGAATAGTTTCCCGTTCCTGTGGCATGAACCTTGAGGCTCTTTCTGAGTGTTTGTCTAGGCCTTGAGATCTGTGGTTTAATCCTATTATCATATCCTGCTTCCCAGGTGATGGGGCTGACTCCTAGAGTTTGGGTGGGGTATGCAGATCTTCTCTTTTGCCTTCTTGATTGCTCTGGCTTCAATTCTCTATGGTTTTACATCTGCATTTGTATGGGGCTAGCTCTTGCTTGGGGCAGAGAGATAGATTTGGGGCCAGGTTTGGTTTTTAAAAAATCCTTTTGAGGAAAAATATATTTTTCTGCCCTTTTAATATTTCCTTCTCTCGGCTAACTTCCCTCACTAGGAAGCATCTCTGACTTCAGTCACATTCCTACACATCATTAAAAATAGTCTGCACACCGTTAAGTCTTTTTTTTTTTGGGGTGATGAAATGCAGGCTTCTTCCAATCAACTGGCCACTGGATTGCTCCAAAGATTCAAAGAAGGCTATGAAGCTCAACCAGATGTGCTTCACTAACCCCACAATGTTATTTTCCTTGAAGGTAAATCTCAAAGCTATAGAGCAGGGGTCTTCAAACTTGGCCCTTTGATGACTTGTGGACTTCAACTCCCAGCATTCCTCATCCAGCATGGACCATATTCTTGTGGAAAACGAAAGGACTCTTACGAATTCCAGAGGGTTTTAGCAGAGAGATTTATTGCGCAGGTTCAGAAGCAATAGCAACCAGCAATTCTGAACCCTGAGGGCGGGTTCAGACTTCAGTTTTATACTTTTCCTTTTCTCAGGAACAAAGGAGTACACATTGAAATACATATTGTAATACATTAGGTTCGTTTCTCGGGTATACAATGGAGAGTTTGCTACATACATTGTATCCAAGTGTAATGCGCATTAGGTTAGTCACACACTACTAACACAGCACTATTCCAGTAATTATGCAGACACATCATTATTCTAGTGATTGTTCATTATTCCACATTAATATAAGCCAGAGGTCTTCAAACTCGGCCCTTTGATGACTGTGGAACTCCCAGAATTCCTCAGCCAGCATGAGCCATATAAGCCAGAGGTCTTCAAACTTGGCCCTTTTATGACTTGTAGACTTCAAGTCCTGGCTGAGGAATTCTGGGAGTTGAAGTCCACGAGTCATCAAAGGGCCACATTGGAAGACCCCTGTTCCAGAGGGCTCGACTAAATGACTCTTGGGGGAGAGGACCCTTCCAAGTCGACGGTCCCAGCCTGCAAAACACAGAGCAGCTAGGAATTATTATTTTTTTTTAAATTTATTTGCATTTCTTTAACGTTGCCCAGAGTTTTGCAACCCGAAGGAATCCACCGTCCCTGTTTTTCCTAGCCAGGCTTTTACCTCCCATTTGCAAAGTCACCTTGGAACTGCATCCCCCAGAATGCCACGCGCGTCGAGCCCCGTTCGCTTTGGCCTCGCCGCGGTGCATCCCGGGAGTCGTGGTTCTCCCCCGGAAAGTTTCCTCCTTGGGAGCGGGAGAGCGGGAGAAAAGAAAAGTTTCCGCTCCGCCCTTTGTGGGCCCGGCTGTCGCCCTGGGCAACGGCTCCCTCAACCAACTGGCGCGCGGCGGCCAGGGGCGGCGGGCCAATGGCGGTCGCCGGTGGGCGGAGCTCGAGTCTCCTTGGGCCCCGTGCCGCGGCCTAGTCAGTTTGACCCGGCCTTGGGCGCCATGGGCGGCGGGGAGAGCGTTCCGCGGAGGGTCACCTTCGAGGCGGACGAAAACGACAACATCACGGTCGTGAAGGGCATCCGGGTGAGGCGGGGAGGGGACCCTCCGCTTGTTGTTGGGGTGAGGGGAGTGCTGGGGAGGTGGGGCGCCCTCGTTGCCTAGGTAACGGCATGCAAAGAGAAGATGCTCAGGGGAGGGGGGAGAGGAGAGGGGAGAGGGGGAAGCTTCACCCGGACAGAGTTGACCTGCGGAACTCGCGGCCTCATGATGTCAGGATGATGATGATGAATTAAAATTGAAAGGCTGGCTCCCACTTCCTCCGGGGACTACAGAGCCAAGCAAGGCGGGTGGAGTGGGACCCCCAACCCCCCTGGGGGAACGCTGCCCTCTTTCTCTGAACGTCCGGAGCATCCTTCGCCTTCGAGGGGGGATGCAAGAAGCCTGCAAAATTTGGCCCCCTTCCAAATTCAACCCTCCCCATTGCATGGGCAACTGCACCCCCCCACACACCTAGAGAGACCTTCTGGAAAAAGTGGGGTGCAGGGGGTGCCCCAGGGGCTTCCCCCTTCTGCAGAGTTTGAGACCCAAGGGCGAACCAGCTTGACCCCGTTTGAACTTGGCCTTCAGTTTGGCTGCATTGTGCTGTGTAGTGAGAATATTGCATTGATGATGTAACCTAGTTGGGTTGTGAAACGTCTGCAGTAAAAGAACCAAGCCCAGAGAGTACCAAGGACACCCCGAGTCAGTCTCCTCCTCCTCCTCCTTCTCCTCCCTTACTCCCATCTAACACTGATGATGTTACCCAGTTGGATCATGAAACGTCTGCAGTGAGTTAGGTTTTGTCTGTGTGTGTGTGTGTGTGTGTCAAATAGGCCCCCCTATTTGAGAGGGCAACTGGTGGGTCATGTATGCACCCCCCTAGTGGTATTTCGTGTGTGGGTGTCACCCTGAAGGTTTGTCTTCCAAGATTATGCTGTTAGACATTGCTTGCCAATTGTGACCCCCCCACCCCACAAAAAAAAAAACAGGGATGGATTTTTTTTCTCCAGTGCTTGTGAAAATAAGTAGTTCTTTGAAGCTTTGGATTTCCTTCAAGCTTCTGTGTTTCTTTGGGGGGGGGGGAAACCCACCCAATCTCCCCAACCTCTCCGGGAGAAAAAAGCCAGAGAAATTTTATTGCCATTATTGGCTGAGGGAGAACAGATAGGTTTTTGAAAAGAGGGACCTTTGGCTGCCAAGCGATTGCCAACCCTCGATTCACGAGGTGTGTGTGTGTGTGTATGTGTGTGTGTGTGTGTGTGTGTTTAGAAGTTTCCAAGCGTCTTACCGAGTCCCTCCCCCCCTCTTTTTTAAAAAAATGCTATTTTATTTTAAAGGCAAAATAAAGGATAGCCAAAGTTGAAGGATGCGTTCAGCCCGGGGAAAACCACCTATTAATAGCACTTTACAAGGCCTTGGTAAGGCCACACTTGGAACACTGCATCCAGTTTTGTTCACCACGATGTAAAAAAGATGTTGAGACTCTAGAAAGAGTTTAGAGAAGAGCAATAAAGATGATTAGGGGACTGGAGGCTAAAATATATAAGGAACAGCTGCTGGAATTGGGTATGTCTAGTTCCGTGGTTCTCAACCTTTTTAATGCCACGACCCCCAACCGGTCGTAAGTCGAGGACTACTCAACTGGTGCAGCACCGTTTGCAGAATGGGGCTTTTGGCGGGCTCAGCAGGGCAGAGTCTATTCTATTGGCTTTCAAAAGCCAATAGAATAAAAGGGAGTAGCACAGCTAAGGAAAAGGGGGAAAAAATGGCGGACTGCGTTGTTTGGCGACCCTCGTGAAATGGTCGTTCGACTCCAAATGGGGGCCCGACCCACAGGTTGAGAACCACTGGGCTAGTTGAATGAAGAGAAGGATGAGGGGGGACATGATAGCAGTCTTCCAGTATCTCAGGGGCTGCCCCAAAGAAGAGGTAGTCAAGCTATTCTCTAAAGCACCAGAGGGAAGGACAAGAAGCAACGGATGGAAACTAATCAAGGAGAGAAGCAACCTAGAACTAAGGAGAAACTTCCTGACAGTGAGGACAATTAACCAGTGGAACCACCTGCCTCCAGAAGCGGTGAATGCTCCAACACTGGAAGTTTTTAAGAAGAGACTGGACAGCCATTTGTCTGAAATGGTGTAGGGTTTCCTGCCTGAGCAGGGGGTTGGACTAGATGACCTCCAAGGTCCCTTCCAACTTTATTATTATTGTTGTTATTATTATTATTAAATTTCCATTTACCTGCCGGCGGGCTTAAAATACATGATAAGGTTTTGAAGCCCCTCCGGGCTATTTTAGGGCTTTTTAGGAGCTCAAGCGGAAAGCTAGAAAACCTTGTAGATCTCACACTCAAGACCAGGTGTAGTAGCGGAATGATACATGTTCCGGGGACGCCGTTGAAAAAAAAACAAACAAAACTCTCGGCCTGTGTTCTTTTCAGCTCTCCGAAAATGTCATCGAGCGGATGAAGGAGCCGTCTTCCCCCGACGGAAGGTCCCAGAAGAAATTTGGGCCTGGCAATCATACCTCCATCGCTGGAGCTGCAGGTAGGTCTGTGTTTTCCAGGATAAGATGTGGCCCCTTTTACGTCAATCGGAAATTATTTTTGTTCAAGCGATTAACCCAGGTGGTCCTTGACTTCGTTTAGTGACCGTTGGAAGGTACAGCGCCACTGAAAAAAAGCGAGCTTTCCCCCTTCGCGACCGTTGCAGATCCCCACGTGATCAAAATTCAGACGCTTGGCAACTGGCATGTATTTTTTGACGGTTGCCGTGTCCTGGGGTCAGGTCATCCCCTTTTGCAATCTGATTTCAAGCAACGTCAATGGGGGGGGGGGGAAGACAGATCTGCTGAACAACCCCGTTACTGACTTAACAGCTGCCGGGATTCGCTTAAGGGGAGTGGCGAGAAAGGCTGTAAAATGGGGCAAAACTCAGTTAACAAGTGTCTTGCTTAGCAACAGGAATGTTGGGCTTAATTGTCGTAAGTTGAGGACTGCCTGTAAAATATTTGGTGAACTTGGGATTATTATAAACAATGTAAGAATCATTTCTCCTGGCCTATGACTGATTCTTCCCTTCCCTTCCCTTCCCTTCCCTTTCCTTTCCTTTCCTCTCCTCTCCTCTCCTTTCCTTTCCTTCTCTCTCTCTTTCTCTCTCTCTGTCTGTTTCTGTCTGTCTGTCTGTCTGTTTCTCTCTCTCTCTCTCTCTCTCTCTCTCACACACACACACACACACACACACACACACACACAAAATGAGTGTGCTCAATCATTGTACGAAGCCTTTATGTGATCTGCTTGAATTTGCCCAAGTGTGTTGTCTGAACTCATCTATTTGTGGGTTCGTTCAGTAGGTCACGAGTCAACAAGCTTTTCTTTAACCAGTGTTATCAAGGGCTAAATCACGGCTTGGCGATCCGGCGAGCGGGAGAGGGGAAATCAGCCCGTGCAAGTGAAGGAGTTGCGCACACGTGCGTGCATACCGCCCACCGCTTGTGCATGCTGAGCTGCATGGGTGTGCGCTGGCCTGCTGCTTGTGCAAGCTGAACTGCCCCTGTGCCGGCCAGCTGCTCGTACGGCCCGGGTCGGAACAGGCCACAATCCTGGTATTGGGGACCCCTGGCTTAATTGATTATCTCCTGAGACCTCATAATTTCATCTCCCCAGGCTTTTTAAACAAATGTAGGCCTAAATTGGGTGACGAGCCTGTCTCAATTATGGAGAAATGAGGACGAGCAATCATAGAACCGCTGCTTGGTTCTACTTTCAAAGTGGTCCCAACAACGAATCCCCGCTCTGTCTTTATCTTGAAGTCACATTAACAGAATCTTGCAAGTATTTCTTTCTCTTCCTCTCTTCTCCGGCTTTCCGGAACGCTCCTGAAACGCTTCCCATATTTCTGGGGACGAGATAGCTTTTCCATGCCAGTTGCCCAATCTGTGGGTGTTCCTTCTGTCCCCCAACGTCATTCTCTCCTCCCGTGGGACTGATGGGCAGACGCATCTGTCACATTCTTGGTGAAGGGGGAGGAGGCAATAGACAAAGCTGATTTATTTTTAAGCTCCGTTCGCAGGCTTCTCTAAGTCATATGTGGCAAGTTCCCGACGCACTTTTCACAGCTCTTAAGGAATTTGGGTCCAGTCCACCATGACCTGGCACCAGTGTTGATCTAAAGCAGGGGTAGGCAACCTTGGCTCTTTTATGACTCATGAACTTCAACTCCCAGAATTCCTGAGCCAGTATGACTCAGCATGGAAGCTTCTCCCTTTCTCCTCAGCATGGCTGGCTCAGGAATTCTGGGACTTGAAGTCCATGAGTCATAAAAGAGCCAAGGTTGCCTACCCCTGTCCTAAGTCCTCCTGTTCTAAGCGGTGAGCCTCCTAGACCAGGGGTAGGCAACCTGGGCTCTTTTATGACTCGTGGACTTCAACTCCCAGAATTTCTGAGCCAGCCACTCTGAGGGGAAAGGGAGAGGTTTCCAAGCTTAGCCATGCTGGCTCAGGAATTCTGGGAGTTGAAGTCCACGAGTCATAAAAGAGCCAAGGTTGCCTATTCCTGGTCTAGGAGGCTCACCGCATAAGAGGACTTAGGACGGGGTACGCAACCTGGGCTCTTTTATGACTGGTGGACTTCAACTCCCAGAATTCCTGAGCCAACATGGCTCAGCTTGGAAACCTCTCCCTTTCCCCTCAGCGCGGCTGGCTCAGGAATTCTGGGAGTTGGTCTACAAGTCATAAAAGCCAAGGTTGCCTACCCTTGCTCTAAACCAGGGTAGGCCACCTTGGCTCTTTTATGACTCGTGGCCTTCAACTCCCAGAATTCCTGAGCCAGCCTGGCTCAGCTTGGAAACCTCTCCGTTTCCCCTCAGCGTGGCTGGCTCAGGAATTCTGGGAGTTGAAGTTCACAAATCATGAGGGAGCCATAGTTCCCTCATGCTGGCTCAAGAATTCTGGGAGTTGAAGTCCACCAGTCATAAAAGAGCCAAGGTTGCCTACCCCTGGCCTAGAGCAATGTAACCGGAAATTACAAGACTTCTGTAACACATTTTTTCTTAAGTTTATTTGCATCCATTTGTGAGTGCCGTTCAAGGTCAGTCGGCTTCTCTCCAGCGTCCTTCTTCCATTTCTTTTAGTCACGTAAAATGTACTCCAGTCACTCCCTGGCATAAGAACTTTGAACTACAGATAGGCTTCGGCTTAACAACAGTTGGTTTAGTGGCCGTTCGAAGTTACAACGACGCTGAAAAAAAGGGACTTCTATGACCTGTGATCAGAAATTCAGCCACTTGGCAACTGACTCGTGTTTACAATGGTTGCAGTATCCCGGGGGGGGGTCCTGTGATCTCCTTTTGCGACCTTCCGACAGGCAAAGTCAACGGGGGAACTAGAGTTACGTAACAGCCGTCTTACTAATTTAACAACTGCAGTGATTCACTTAATAAGCGTGGCAAGGAAAGTCGTAAAATGGGGCAACACTCACTGAACAAACGTCTCGCTTAGCAACACAAATTTTGGGTTCCGTTGTGGTCGTAAGTCAAGGGCTACCTGTATATGTGTGTGTGTATGTGTGGATACATATACACGGCAGGAAAAAAAAAAGGAATCCTGCAGATTTACCAGACGGATAGCACAGGGAACAAAGCTGTTGCAGGATCTAGTAGTTCTGCTATAAATACTTCAAAACCTCCTCCTAAAGGGGAGCAACAGAAACAGACGGTGAAGTGGGGATGTGGGATCTCTAACAATGCCCTGAACTCTAAGCACATATAAGCGCTTATAAGCACATATCCTGAATCACAGGAAGCGAGCTTCCTATTATAATCTTCTCGGCTGTCCTCACCACTCTCCGTATGGACCTTTTTTTTTTTTTGAGGCTCTGCTCTTCACTTAAAAAGAAAAAAGTGATTTCTTCCAGGAATTACAGCAAGGATGGTGAAACCTTGCGGACCGTATAATGGTTATCACCAATACATCATAAACACCGCACTTCACTTACCTATGATATTTTAGTTACTTAACGATTATATCTGAGATGAAAAGTTCATGCAATAACGCAAGCTCGCCCTGCCGAGATCGGTGGTCAATAACACCCCGAGTCTCTCGCCACGTGATAGGAAATGCAGTCCTTCTGATATGAAAGCCATATTAATTTCTGTCTCTTGAAAACTGGGTGTGAAGGGAAGGAATCTAGATAGCATAGAAAGAAAGATAAGCTTAATATTGCTTTTGGTTGGAAGTTTGACGTGTAAACTGTGTTTGGCTTACAAACTCTCCATTCCAATTGAGACAGGCTGTACTCGGCTGCCTTCAGAGAGAAATAAACCAAAATCACAAATAAAGCTAAGCCAGGTAGGTTACTGGGAGAGACGAGGGCACAAAGAGATTTATTTTTACAGGTGGTCCTCAACATATGACCGTAATGGAGCCTACATACATATCAGTATGTCACAATGGTCCTAAAATGGGTCGATCATGTCAGAGCATGCAACGTCTTATTGGGCTGAGATAACCCAGGAGTAAACACAGTAAACGGTGGTCTATAATAAATGGTGGTTTATCTTACACTATCTACAATTTCAAGAACAGTATGCACACACGTGGTAATACAGCAAGCTCCAGCACACAACAGGAAAATGGAAGAGAGAGACACTCCAGCAAAGCCCTCCCTTTTATACTCTGGCTCTTAAAGGGACACAGACCCTGCTGAGTCATTCCTATCATTGCATCATCCACCTTATTGTTCCAGGTTGCTTCTCTCCTTAATTAGTTTCCATCCGTTGCTTCTTGTCCTGCCTTCAGGGGCTTTGGAGAATAGGTTGACCCTCCCTCTTCTTTGAGGCAGCCCCTGAGATATTGGAAGACTGCTATAAGCAAGTATAGCAAGAGCTTTAGTAAGAGGAACCAGGACAATTTTACCTATGCAGTTTTTAGGCTTCAAAACTTAAGAGGCTAATATTCAATTTGCCTTGAAGGAGTAGATGATCTCTGGCAGTCTCCCTCAACACTATGATGTCGATTACCCTCTGCCCATGTTTTATATTTGCACTGGAAAATTCACATCGTTTTTATGATTGGGATGGAAAAATTTGCTTGGAAAAAAAACAAAAGTTTTCCGTCCTGCTTCTCTAATCCTCCTATAGCCAGCGGGCTCTGTGGGATATAGAGCTGGAACGTTTGAGTAATGCAACGAAAACCCCAGTCGGCTAAATCTACATAGCCAAGGGGCTTGGATGATTTGCAATTTTTAGCAGCTTTCTTGACGCCCCTTGGCCAATGCCGGTAAAATGAATAAAGCACTTAAAACATGATTAAAAAACAATTAAAAGGTTTAAAGACTCTGCAAACGTCACGCTCTTCGCAAGACTAAAACAATTTCGAATATTTTGGGGTGCCTGCATGTGTAGGTATAAACACGCCCAGAAATACACAGGCACCCCAAGATATTCCTCCACATGTGTGTTCGTGCTCACACATGTATGTGTACATCTGTAGGGAAATGGGGTTGCATTTCTTGAGAAATGGTACAGTCCGATGAATTCCCTAATCA